GTGTTTTCCGTCTCGCTGCCTTTTCTTCCACCGAAATTCTACGTCTTCCTGAAAACTGAAAATTTCCAAATTTCTGCTCACGCTCCGCTCCATGTGAGTAACGTTCATTTTTTTTTTGCCTACCATGAGTTTTTCATCCTGCTTCCTCTACTCCCACCAAAATTTAATGTTTTAGTAGAACCCTAATAGCTAAAGATCTCCTTGTCCTTTCTCCTTGAAACCTGGGCATGTCACATAATATTTCATAACGCTTTGCCGTACAGGTTTGTTATGATAGAACCATTTACTATGTCGACGTTTCCACTAACTCGTCGTCTTCAAGGACCTGAAAATAGTTCGGAACTTTTGGTCTGTGACATACCTGATCAAGCGCCCATACGCACTAAACCGGTTGCAACTAGTCCCAGAAGCGTAAACGCCGAAACATCCCCACAAAGTAACCAACCTCCTGCCTTTCCACCACCGTTGTCGTCCCACTCTATTTCGTGAACAACAAGGGAACAGTGCGACACCACTGACGGTCGTGAGACAAAAATTACTCGGTGATCTCAAAGCCCACAAAAGGGAATGAATGGCAGAAGTTCACTCGTTACGGCGATGCACTCACTTCGGTTGTTCAGCTTAGGATTCCGCTCGCAAATGTACAACGTTTCCAATATCTTTCTAGCACCGATCTCATTCTCTAGGCTAGCATTTTGCATTTGATATCAAAATCTTTGCCTTGATGCTCTTCTAGTCGATGCCTGCAAAGGGTGCGTGAGTAGGCTTCCTCGCCTTCTGCCTGCTAGATGTTCTTTAACGCGTATGCCCAGCATCCTTCCCATCTCACCAATATATTTTATATTTCGTCACAGGCTGAACTCTGAAGTTTGTACGCCGTCCTCCGCTGTGTGCAATCTCCACTGCTTCCGAACGGACAAACAAAGCAGTTATCTGTCGCACATGCACGATCACGGAGTCTCTTGCTGATCAAAAGACTTTTGGTATTGCCTGATGGTACTTTTATCAAGACAACATCATTAGCCAAGTCCGCTCGTGCAATGCGCGGCCGTGTTTCCGCGCTGGCTTTGTCTGTTGTAGACGGAAGTCGGAGAAACACCATATTTTTATGATTTCTCAGCGAGATCCCTTCCGAACCTGACTTTCTCAGTTTTAAGCTTGAAGAAAATTGCATGATAGGGTCGTTTGATGTAACTGCGCTTCATACGAACGAGAACAACAATGAAGCTCTTCATGCAATTTCCGAAGTAATGGACGAGCATGAGACGGAGCTATAATGTTTTCAAGTAGTGTGGACAGCAGTACTTTTCTCGAAACCGAGGACTAGTCATGGGCCAGCGGCTAGCACCGGTCTCAGCTATCTGATCTATGAGCAGGGTCGAAAAGCCAGTTATAGCACACCTGCCCATAAATTACTGCGTTATACCGATGACTGCCAATCACATCAACGCAGCAAGAGATCGATGATTTGTTTAACACCCTCAACCGACAGTCGCAGTATATCAACTTCATGAGAAAGGTTCCACACGAAGGTTGGTTTCCTTATCTTAATACGCAGATAAACATCTCAAATGGAAGGTACAAGTGAAATGGTATCGGAAAGGCAGCTCGAAGAATATTTACTCCTTTCAAATCTGCCCACTCCGAGGCTGTGAAATGTGCAGTAGATCAAAACATGAACAGAACAGCCCAGGAGTGTATACAGGCGAAGTGTAACGAGAGGAATCACGTAAGCTAGCATCTGGAATTGCAAACATGAATGGCTAGGGACAAAACAGAGAAAGTCAGCTCGGAAGGGATCTCGCTGAGAAATCATGAGAATATGGTGTATCTCCGACTTCCGTCTATATGAGACAAAGTCAGCGCAGAAATACGGCTGCGAAATGCACGAGCGGACTTGACTAATGATGTTGTCTTGATAAAAGTACCATCAGGCAATACCAAATGTCTTTAGATCCTCAACAAATTCCGTGATCGTGCATGTGCGACAGATAACTGCTTTGTTTGTCCGTTCG